CCTGACCCTAACCCTGACCCTGACCCTGACCCTAACCCTAACTCTGACCCCGACCCTGACCCTGACCCTAACCCTGACCCTAACCCTGATCATGATGCTGATGATGATGATAATCCTGATCACAATGCTGACCATGACGATCCTGCTGCTAACGCTGATCCTGACCCTGACCCTGCCTGAGACCCTGACCCTGACCCTAACCCTGTCCCTGACCCTGACCCTAACCCTGACCCTGACCCTAACCCTGACCCTGACCCTGACCCTGAACCCTGACCCTGACCCTGACCCTAACCCTGTCCCTGACCCTAACCCTACTGCTGGACACTCAGGTTGCTCTGGGTTTCTCCCTGACACTGTAACGGTGCCAGGACCCTGTTGGGTTTTTAAACTGTTGTGTGTTTTTTTATGAGTCAACAACATACATTTATTTATTTATTTTTAAAAATATATTTTTATTGATCTCAGAGAGGGAGAGGGAGAAACATCAATGATGATAAGAAAAAAAAAGAAACATCAGTGATGAGAGAGAATCATTGATCGGCTACCTCCGGCGCGCCCCCTACTGGGGATTGAGCCTGTAACCTGAGCATGTGCCCTGGCCAGGAATCGAACGGTGACCTCCTGGTTCATGGGTCAATGCTCAACCACTGAGCCACACCAGCCAGGCAACAACATGCATTTATGTATTTACTTATTTTTAAATGTATTTTTATTGATTTCAGAGAGGGAGAGAGAGGGAGAGAGAGATAGAAACATCAATGATGAGGGAGAATCATTGATTGATCCGGATCAAGTCCACAACCTGGTCATGTGCCCTTGACTGGAATTGAATCTGGGACCCTTCAGTCCACAGGCTGATGCTCTATCCACTGAGCCACGCCAGCCAGGCAACAACATGCATTTAGCATATAGTTGTGGAGCTGCCCCTGTGTACCACCCTGAGCCATAGGGGCCATAGGCAAGGCCGACAGAAGTTGCAGCCTGGGGCTGGGACTAGAATGAAGCCAGCAAGGGCACCACCTTGGGTACACAACTTTAAGGGGGTGCCAAAAACCCTCGGTGGCTAATAGAAACAATGCTGTAACGCAGTATTTTTAAAAATCAAAATTAATGTAAAATCCATGACGAACAAATATCAAAATTTTAGATAAAGACAGGATCCAACCCTGTATTTGTACAACCTTGCCCCTTGTACAACCTTCATGGAGCCCAAATTCAAGTGGGGGTGATGGATGAGGTGTCATCAACACACATGGTGAGATACTGCTGGGAGGTCAAGGTGTTGCCTCCAGCTCAAGCTGAGTCCTGAAGGATAAGGGAATCCAGCAGGAAGAAAGGTTGGAAGTGTGTTCCAGGTGGAGACGTGTGCCACAGCAAGTGCAAAGGCCCTGGGGTAGAATCGGGCATGACAAGATGCTGGATGTCTCTCCTTAGGTCAGGCTCCTTGAAGTGGGCCTAAAAAAATTAGTAAGATTTCCCTAATAGTCCTCCAGAAAACAGAATCAATTAATTACCCTCTTGTCAGCAATGGGCCATCTCACCACAGCTTTGTCAGCAATGGGTGTTAACATTTTAAAGATTGTTTTCACTAACACGATGCTGTGTATAAATGTTGACTCCTTGACTCATAGAATTCTAGGCTTAGGCTGCAAGGGTGCCCCTGATTCATGTTTGGGGGACTTGGCTGGCGACCCTGGGCTGGGCGAGGTGTGGGCAGATTCTTTGGAATTTTGGGGACCAACGGCTCCCACCAACGTCGGCTTCCCCTCCCCAACCTCCGCCTCGGCTTCCAGTTAAATACGACCCGCCGCCAGAAGACATCCAAGTGTCACGCTCAGCAGGGCAGCTGCACTTGCAGTGGGAGACCCCCACCCGCCAGGATGGCGCTGAGGTGCAGTTCCGGCGCCGGACGCCTGGCAGTTCGTGGAAGTTGGTGAGTTTGCTTCCCGGGTCAGGGGTGGGCACAGGCTCTTCCAGGGCACTTTCTCCCTAAAATCAGTGTCATCATCTCTACATCCGTTACCCCTCCCGCCGGGCCCCCACGCTCGCCCCATGTCTAGCCTCCGAGGTTTTTCTGGGGAGCAGCTCTGATGGTGACCTCCCTGTCCCCCACCCTCCCATGGCTCCCTAATGCCTACGGGAGGCATCCTTGTCCCCGGCAGCCCCAGGGGCCCTCACTTGCCCCCCCTCCCCGCCTCCTCTGGTGCCCTCCCCCCAAGGCCATCATTCTCTACTTACCCCTGGGTTTCCAGCCTCCGCACATGGACTTGCCTCCACTTGCTCGACCCCCTCTCCACATGAACACGTGAATCCAGCCCCAGGGCCGCCTCTTCCAGGAACCGCCCTCCCACACATTCCTTCTTCTCTCTCGCCCTCCCTTCCTTCTTTTTTAAAAAATTGAGATATGCCTTGGCCGGTGTGGCTCCGTTGTTAGAATGCCATCCGTGCATCCAAGGGTTGCAGGTTCAATTCTCGGTCAGGGCACATACCCAGGTTGCAGGTTGGATCCCCGTTCAGGGAGTATGTGTGACATTTCTCTCTCACAATATTTCTCTCTCCTCTCTCTCTCTCATCAATGAGAATTGAGAGAGAGAGAGAGAGAGAGAGAGAGATATAACTGACATATAACATTATATTAGTTTCAGGTGTATAACATAATGATTCAATATTTGTACATATTGCAGCATGACCACCACAATAAATCTAGTTAACTTCTGACACGATGCATATTACAGATTTTCTTTTTCTTGTGATGAGAACTTTTAAGGTCTACTCTCCTAGCAACTTCCAAACATGCAATACAGTGTTATCGGCCACAGTCACCATGCTGCACATTACATCTCCATGACGACTGATCTTGTAACTGGAAGTCTGTATCTTTGACCGTCTTCAACCATTGCTCCCACGCCCCGTCCCCGATTCTCTGACAACCACTTATCTGTTCCCTGTATCCGTGAATTTGGTTTTCTATTTTGTGTTTTTTTGGTTCCACATATAAGTGAGATCATATGGTTTTGTCTTTCTCTAATTTATCTCACTTAGTACAATGCCCTCAAGTTTTGTCACAAATGACAAAGATTTCCTTATTTTTTATGGCTGATTAATACCCCAGCGTAGGTACATATACCACTTTACTCATTCATCGATCGATAGATGTCTCGCTGTTCCCGTGTCTTGGTTATTGTAAATGATGCTGCAGTGAACACAGAGGCGCATGTCTTTTCGAGTTAGTGTTTTCGTTTCCTTCGGATGAATACCCAGAAGTGGAATTGCTCCATCGTCTGGTGGTTCTGTTTTTAATTCTTTGATGAACGTCCACACTATTTTCCATAGCGGCCGCATCAATTTACACGCCCGTCAGCAGTGCACAGGGTCCTCCGATCTCCACATTCTCGCCAGCATTTCGTATCTCTCCTCTCGTAACCGTGTTAACAGGTGTGATGTGCAAGGTGGCTTTGATTTGCATTTCCCTGATGGTTAGTGATGTTGAGCATATGTTCATGCACCTGCTGGCCATCTGTGTGTCTGCTTTGGACCTTCATTCATTCTTCAGCTTCTGTCTGTTCCCTGCTCTGTAGCCCCCCTGCCCCAGCCAGACAAGCCTGCCCCTGCAGAAACCTCAGCCCAGACCCAGTCCCCAAGGAGCCCCAAGTCTGAGGGAGGCAGAGACCCCCCAGCCTCTGAATTGTGGCCAGTCTCCCCCTCCCTCAGCCTGGGAGCATCCGGAGGGCAGGGGGTGGCCTCAGCTTCAGCCCCATCTTCCCTCCAAATGTTGTGTCCCTCCCGAGCCTCAGTTTCCCCATCAGATGTCTAGGTTCGGATCCATCGGCAGCAGGTGACATGGGACCCTGACGGGGAGGGACCTCTCTCTGTGTTTTATCTCCAGCCCCCTAAGCACACTGGGCAGCAGGCCGTCTCAGACCCCTTTGTGGGTGAGGAAACTGAGGCTCGGGTGGCAGGAACTTCTCAGGGTCCCCAGGGAGTGGGGGGCAGGCTGGGCAGGGCTCTTCTGATCCCCAACACAGCAGACAGGTAGGTTTTGCCTCCTAAAATATTTTTAAGGAAATTATAAAATAAATTTTGTCTCCTAAAATAATTCTTTTAGAAATGTTTAAAATTGGAATCATCTTAGATTTTCAGAAAAGTTAAAAATAAATACAAAGAGCTCCCATAGAACCTTTGCCCAGCTTCCCTCCTTACATCCCTGACGGCGACGCACAGGGCATGTTACTGGGAACCAAACTCCAGAGGTTACTGGATGCTACTCATTTCCCCAGGAACGTCTTCTTTTTGCTCTGGGATCCATCCCAGGGTTTCGTATTGCACTTAGTAAAATCATATTTTAAGTAAGATGTTAATAATAAATGAATAATATTTTTACTAATAATATTAGAGCTAATATTTTTCAGCACCAAATTGTAAAACAATATATGAATATGGTCTTGTCCTAGGGTGACTGTGGACATCAGGATGATGCTGGCTTTGGTGAGAATAAGAATAGTAACAGCAACAGCTGCAGCAAATTATCATGAATCAAGCACCTCCTGTGTGCCAGACAAGTGCTAAATTCTATGTATACCTGTTGGTCTGCCCTGTGGTTCTGTATTGGATTAGTCCCATTTTACAGGTGAGAAAACCAAGGCTGGGATGTGTGTGAGAAGCCATAGGCCAACGTCACATTACAAGGGGTGGCCTTGCCGGGACTTGAACCAGGGACAAAGAAAGATGATCCTTGAGGCCCCAGGAAGGCAGGCCATGGCCTGTTCCTGCCATATCCTCAGGGCCCGGCACACAGTTGGCTCTTAGAAAGTGCATGTATACAATTGGCACCCAATAAGTGCATGCACACAGTTGGCACTCAATAAGTGCCCAATGGCTACGTGACCAGTGCCATGCCCACTGCACCCCCAAATGTGGGACAGCCCCTTGGTCTGATGTTGGATCTCTTTCCCCCAGAGTCCTGCCTTGGTCCGCTGGAGAGAAACTGGGCCCAGGAATTCCAGCTGAGGCGCCGGCAGCTCGGGCCAGGTGCCCTGCAAGGTCCCTGGAGCGGCTGGAGCAGCCCCCTGTGTGTCCCCCCTGGTGAGAGTGCCCAGAGCTACAGGAACAGGGGCAGGCATGAGAAATATGGCAGCGGGTCTTAGAACTAAGGCAGCAAGTGTTAGAAACAAGATGACAGATTTTTGAAATGAGGCAGTAGGAGAAATTAGTGAACATTATGAACAGGTGGCAGTAAGCGAGTTTCACTTTGTAAGTTGTGGTGAATCCATAATCCAAAAAGAAAACATTTATCAGCCTTCTTCTCCTTCCAGTTTGGTTGGTTGGTTTTGTCTTTTAAAGTCGCACGAGGCCCTAACCGGTTTGGCTCAGTGGATAGAGCATCGGCCTGCGGACTGAAGGGTCCCAGGTTTGATTCCGGTCAAAGGCAATTACCTTGGTTTTGGGCTCATCCCCAGTAGGGGGTGTGCAGGAGGCAGCTGATCGATGTTTCTCACTCTATCCCTCTCCCTTCCTGTCTGTAAAAAATCAATAAAATATATATTTTTAAAAAGTCGAACGAGGAATAGACAGGTGCAGGGGTTGTGTCAGGAAGACATGTTCCCAAATAACACAGGAAGCTGGAGCCTGGGCAGCTCAGGAGAGGAGATGTGCCCCCCCCCCTTCCCCGCTCCCCCCCAACCCCCCGCAGGGAGCGGGGAGGGAGGGAGGGATGGGGGTGACTGTCAACATTTGTCCCCAGCCCTGCCAGCCGGGGCCTCCTCCTTCCCAGTGGCCTATCTGCTGGGAAAGAACTCTAAGAATTGCTTTCTGGTTTTTATTTAAATTGGGGTAAAGAACACATAACATAAAACGCACCTTTACTCATCGCGTTATGTATATTCATGCTGAACCGAGATCATCCCGTGTTTCCTGGGAGGGGAGGGAAGGGGTTTGCAGGAGGTTGTGAGGAAGGACAACCCTGCCTCCATGACTGTCTTACGTCTCCGGACAGAACCGCCCCCACAGCCCGAGGTGTGGCTCTCGGTGAAGCCGCTGGGCCCGGACGGGAGGAGGCCAGTGACCCTGCGCTGGCAGGTAAGGAGGCTGTGTGGGCGGTGCCCCGGGAGGAGAGCGACGGTCGGGGGTCGGGGGTCGGTGCACAGGTGGGAGACGGAGGGAAACAGGACGTGGAGGTGGCAGGGACGGGGAGGAAGTGGGGTTAACGCTGAAGGTATTGGGGGACCGTGGAGGGAGGGTAGTGAGCGGAGGAGGGATACGGCTGGACTCAGGTTCACAGGCTCCCTCTGGTGGCCATCAGGGGAACAGATTGTGGGGGGCTCCAGTGGACACGGGAAGGCCAGGAAGGGGTCAATCGTGTTGGTCTGCGTGGGAGATGATTTCTTTTAAATCCCCCCAAACAACCCTTGTATTACGGACAGTCTAACTAACCCCATTTTACAGAGAAGGAAACTAAGGCACAGAGGAAAATGTCTTACCTGCCCCGGCCGGTGTGGCTCGGTTGGAGTGTCGTCCCAGACACCAAAAGGTTGTGGGTTCGATTCCCGGTCAGGCCACATACCTAGGTTTTGGGTTCAATCCCCGGTTGGGGCGCATATGGGAGGCAATCGATTGATGCTTCTGTCTCACGTTGATGTTTCTCTCCCCCGTCCCCTCTCTCTAAAACCAGTAAACGTATCCTCGGGTAAGGATTAAAAATTTGGTTCTAATACCCTGAGTCAGGGGCAAAAGCATGACACATCTCACCATCACTGACTCAGCAGGTCCCCAGGGGCCGTCACAACACGTCTACATGGGACTCCGTTGCTTCCCGGGTTTCCTCTCATTTGAATCCCTTTTCTCAGGAAAAATTTCCAGGGTTGAGGTCACTGGGTCCAAGAATGGAAACTCCTTCTCCTGGCTCTCAGTGGGTTTTTCCAAGTCACTCCCCCACAAAGCAAAAGCAAACAGACAGAACCATCGTGCATGGGATGCGAACGCCTTGCTGGCATCGAGGTTTATTATTGTTAACACTTCGGCCCGTGTCACAGGCTGTGGCCATGGAGGAGGCTGTGCTCACGGGCTCTGCCCTGGTGCTGGCCCATGAGGACAAGGAACGCGTTCAGATCCCCACACACCGTCTCTCCCACTCCTGACAGCCGACCCGGCTCCAGCTCCCCGAAGGCTGCCGTGGGCCCGAGTCTGGCGCCGAGGTGACCTACGACCTCCACCTGCACATGCTGTCCTGCCCGTGCAAGCCCCAGGCAACCAAGACCCTGCGCCTGAAGAGAGCCCTCAGCCTGTCGGGTGCTGCCTACAACCTGACCGTCGTCTCCCGGAATCGCTTTGGCCCCGGCCCCAACCAGTCATGGCACGTTCCTGCCCACACACCCCCAGGTGACTCCTCGGCTGGGGACGGGGGGGGCGGGGGGGCCCTTGGAGGGAGCACCTGCTCTGAGCCTCAGCTAGACTCGGGTGAGGGGGATGAGGCACACACGCTTACGGGGGTGTCTAACGTAGTAATCGAGATACAGAATGTTAAAATGCAACATTTAAAAAAAATTCTCACCGCAAACTACAGCCCAGGCGAACTGTGTTTTTGAAATTAAGTTTTAAGGGGACAAGGGCTGGGATCAGGATGTGGTGAATGAGTCAGGGTCATGCAAGTACAGGGATGATTCTGTCTTCATTTAAAATCTTGATATTTTGTTCTATATATACACACATATATACATATATATACATACATATATACACTATATACATATAAATATATACATGTGTTTATATATAAAATAAAAAAATCAAGATTTATATTGCCCTGGCTCAGTTGCAGTGTCATTCCCACACATCAAAAGGCTGCAGGTTCGATTCCTGGTCAGGGCAAATACCTGGGTTGCAGGTTTGATCCTTGAGTGGGGCAGGAATCAACCAATGGATGTTTTTCTCTTACACTGATGTTCTCTCTCTCTCTCAAAAAAAGAGAAAACATATTCTTAGGTGAGGGTAAAAAAAAAATTAAGACATATATATACTGTTATATATATATATATATATATATATATATATATATATATATATACACACACATATATATATACTATTATATATATTCTATAAAATAAAACCTAATATGCAAATCGACCGAACGGTGGAATGACCAGTTGCTATGACACGCACTGACCACCAGGGGGTAGACGCTCAACACAGGAGCTGCCCCCTGGTGATCAGTGTGCTCCCACAGGGGGAGCGCCACTCAGCCAGAAGCTGGGCTCACCGCTGGCGAGCACAGCAGCAGTGGTGGGAGCCTCTGTGATGTCTGACTGCTGCTAGG